CAGATATTCCATTTGCATTGAGAAATATTTGACCTCTTTTTGAAATTCTCAATTTTAGTCTTCATGTCATGGAAACATAGATAGAAACCTATCATGTTTAATCTGGGCAGCTACTCATTATAATGACAAATATCTTAGAAGCCAATAAGTGTTTCCACACATTGTTCTGGATCCATGGCTTGGATTGGGAATGGTTAGTGGCTTGGGGGACATCATGCAATGGAAGGGATAGTGCCAGTTTGTTGTGGCAAGGGTGTGTTAATTGTTTGGTTAGTGGCCTACATCCTAAGATAGATGTCCTAGAAGATACAGGTAAGTTTTCTAACACAGGTGGTCTCAGATGGTATGTTCTATTTAAGCAGAAGATGTTGAAAACATTATGATATAATATAGACTCACACTGTAAACCTGTTTGGGCAGGAAAAAGCAGCAGCATTACAGATGTAATTCTAGGTGTGACTACAGAAAAAATTATTACACTCATCATATTTATGATCTCATGCATTGCTTTCCTTTTTCTCCGCCTCTCTTCCTCATCACTCCACTCCTCCACCCCAACGCCCTCTCCCATGCTGGATGTTAGACACCTTCCTGTGAATTTACATGGTACATTGCAAGGGAAAGAGTCAGTTATATTTTTTTAAAGTATTCTTACTGTATTTTCTATTTGGGGGAGGAAGTGAGCTGGGTGTTTTTTCTTTTTCCTTTTTATTTGAAGAATGAATTTGAACCCAGAAATATAGACTTTGTCTTAGAATATGTAACTGTTCGTTATGTTATAGGGAGATGTATAATAGAATTTCACACCACTTAAATTCAAAGTGCATTTAGAAGAATGAAGAAATAGTGAGAGGATAGAGTAGGAGTTGGATAAATTCTCTAAAATGCAAGAATTTCAGACTTTTTGAAATGCCATAATCTTTGGAGGCTAGGCAATAGTGTACTTTATACCTGTAAGGGTATTTTATGATTTAAGAACAATTTTCACATGTGATTCTTCAACCTTGGTTTTATCGGGCAGGCATGAGATGGTGCTTGTTCCAGGATTGTCAAGAGGTTCTGTAGGTTCTGTAGGATAAAAATATTGCCCCAATCATACTATAGTCTATAGGTGGGAGAGCTGGACCTGGGTCTTAGGTCTTACAATTTCTGTAAAAAAATACCTGAGAAAACTAACTTATAAAGAGGAAAGCTTTATTTTGACTCAGGGTTCCAGTCCCTGATTAGGTGGACACATTGCTTTCAGGTTTCTGGTGGGGGTGCCTATGGCAATGTCAAGGAATTTGTGGTAGAGCAAAATTGTTTACCTCATGACCAGGAAGTAAAAAAGAGAAAGAGGAAGAGACTGGGGTCTCACAGCTCCCTTCAAGATGTAATGTTAAAGTGTTATGTGTGTTTGCAGCTCCCAAATTTGGCAGGTCAGATCTAATAATTAATAAAGACACTCTCTTTATGCAAGATAGCATTTATTTTAGCAATAACATGAAAGGTAAGAGAGAAAGAGAAGAAAAATATATCATCATATTGGAGAAACACCAACACTTGAAGTCATGTAGCTGGAGAACCTCAGAGCAGTTTTACATAGCCCCAACTATAGTAATAGTTGGCCTGAAGTCTTATTCCAAGTGGGGCTTTTAAAATACAAGTTAGAATGAAGAAATCTCCTTTATAACAGCCTGCATGATCTAGTGATCCCCTCAAGGACACTTCATCCCCCCAAGGGCTGGCCAGATCCCAGAAGGGAAGGAGTGTTTGCCTTGAGATAAGTGAATGTCTCTGAGTTCCTCTGAGTGAGTCAAACTCATCAAGAAGTCTGCATTCTTTAGATTTGCATGGTAGGTACAAGAACTAGGAAGATCTCTTAATATTTTCCTTAGCCCTTTATAAAGAGAATGCACCCAATGACCTAAAGACCTTCTACTTGGTCCCACCTCCTAATAGCACCACCCTAGAGACCAAGTCTTTAATAGAGGAGCCTTTGAGATACATTTAAGATTCAAATGATAGCACGGATCCAGGGCACTTTCTTTTTTTTTTTATTGGTTGTTCAAAACATTACAAAGCTCTTGACATATCATATTTCATACATTAGATTCAAGTTGGTTATGAACTCCCAATTTTACCCCAAATACAGATTGCAGAATCACATCGGTTACACATCCACATTTTTACATAATGCCCTATTAGTAACTGTTGTATTCTGCTACCTTTCCTATCCTCTACTATCCCCCTCCCTCCCCTCCCATCTTCTCTCTCTACCCCATCTACTGTAATTCATTTCTCTCCTTGTTTATTTTCCCATTCCCCTCACAACCTCTTATATGTAATTTTGTATAACAATGAGCGTCTCCCTCCATTACCATGCAATTTCCCTTTTCTCTCCCTTTCCCTCCCACCTCATGTATCTGTTTAATGTTAATCTTTTCTTCCTGCTCTTCCTCCCTGCTCTGTTCTTAGTTGCTCTCATTATATCAAAGAAGACATTTGGTATTTGTTTTTTAGGGATTGGCTAGCTGCACTTAGCATAATCTGCTCTAGTGCCATCCATTTCCCTGCAAATTCCATGATTTTGTCATTTTTAGTGCTGAGTAATACTCCATGGTGTATAAATGCCACATTTTTTTTATCCATTCATCTATTGAAGGGCATCTGGGTTGGTTCCACAGTCTAGCAATTGTGAATTGTGCTGCTATGAACATCAATGTGGCAGTATCCCTGTAGCACGCTCTTTTAAGGTCTTCAGGGAATAGTCCGAGAAGGGCAATAGCTGGGTCAAATGGTGGTTCCATTCCCAGCTTTCCCAGGAATCTCCATACTGCTTTCCAAATTGGCCGCACCAGTTTGCAGTCCCACCAGCAATGTACAAGAGTACCCTTTTCCCCACATCCTCGCCAGCACTTGTTGTTGTTTGACTTCATAATGGCTGCCAATCTTACTGGAGTGAGATGGTATCTTAGAGTGGTTTTGATTTGCATTTCTCTGACTGCTAGAGATGGTGAGCATTTTTTCATGTACTTGTTGATTGATTGTATGTCCTCCTCTGAGAAGTGTCTGTTCAGGTCAAGTTTCATGTTGTCTTAAACTATGACCCTAAGATCTAGTAAAGCATTGTGCTACAGGACACGAGAGCGTCTCAAACCCTAATGTCTGGCACCACAGTTCTGTGGAAGTGGGCAACACAGCAAATATCACAACACCTATTATAACTGTGATCTGGAATACCTCCCAAAGTCTCATGTGTTGAAGGCTTGACCCCAGCTGTTGGGGCTGAGAGGTGGTGTAAGCTTTAGAAGGTAGGGCCTCGTTGAACTTGGGGTCACTAAGGTGGACCTTTGAAGAGTGCATCTTGCCCTTGGTCTCTTCCTCTCCTCCCTCCGCTGCCTCTCACTCTTTCTCTCTCTCTCTCTGTTCTCTCTTCCTTTGTCCTCTCTTCCTCCCTTCTGGCACCTTTGCTCTGCCACACCTACCACAATGTTCTGCTTCACTACAGATTGAAACCCCTGAATCTGAGCCAAAATAAGCATTTCCTCCTTTAGGATGTGTTTTCTCAAGTGTTTTCCACAGTGATAGAAAGGTGACACAGCTTGCAGAGTTGTTCCTGCTCAGCAGCCTTTATCAGCAGTATTTTAAATCTAGGATTTCACTGTTGTAGTTATCCAAGTAATTCAGGCCAAAGACTTAGAAACAAAACAAACACAGTGCCCATTTTAAAGAGAAAGGGTATAAATTTGCCAAATAGATAAAAGATATTTTAACTAGGGGGTTCAAAAGTGAATTGCTGTATAACAAATGACTTGAAGTATACATGAAAATCCCAAGGACTTATGCATATCATAATTGTTGCCACTCTCAAAAGGTGATTTATAAACTAGCTAATGGGTTAAAAAAAAAAGCAGAGTATAGAAAATCACAAACTTATGGCGTTTATGACTCTAATTTTTTAACAGCATACCTAAGCCACAGAGAATACCTTTGCACATGTCAGGCAAATGTTCTACCATTGAACTATATCCTCAATCCCCTTTTTTTGTTCTTGAGACAGAAACTAAATTGTCCAGGCTGGTTTCGAACTTGTTAACCTCTTGCCTCATCTCCTGAGAAGTTAGAATTTTGTGCATGTATTACTGTGCCCAGCAATATACCTAAGTTTTGATTATTCAATTGCTAGTTCAAAACAACCTGATAGTAATAACTTTTATTATGTTTTGTTATGTTGATGTTTTCCCCTTGTAAGCTTTAGAGATTCTGCAGTTCCCCTGTGAATAGAATAGCCTGGTTAGATTTGAATTTTGAAAAATTAACAATAATTCTTTTTCTTTTTTAGCATGAATTATTTTTTATCTATTATATGGGACATGTAATGAAAACTGTTCATTACTCATCGAAGTTCAAAACTAAACTAGGTGTCCTGTACTTTTATTTGCTACATCTTAGAAGCATACCCATGGATTTGCTATGACTCCTTAGGGCATCTTGACACATAATTTGGAAACCATAGCCCTATAGCCCTAGACCATTTTTTAATGTAAAACTGTATTTATTTTAAATTAATAAGTCATCCAGGAATTTTAAAAATGTTTTAAATATAATTAAAGTACCCAAATATTTTGTATTCAGTTTTGAGTAGAGATGTTCAGATTATGAAAATGGGGTTTATACTAACTGATGATGGTCCAGCCTGTGTACATTGAGCATTGAGCATTGAGCCATAAATTGTGGTGTTCCCAATTTACCTGCTGTCACTTGAGCAAAATCTTACTGCCAGATCAGAACTTCTTGTATCTTCCAAGGACTTCCAAAAGCTGAAGCAAATGAAGTAAGATTTTTTTTTAAATTTTCCTGTCCAATTTTGTTGTAACATAGACAAAATTATAGTCATTTATTGGTAATGGAATTCCTTTGATTTGATAACAAATAATACTCATTATGAAGATCAGATCTGGAGGTATTCTTCATTATGTTGCTGATCTAACCATTAAACCGTAATATTTTTCTTTTAGGAAGCTCAGTGGATATGCTATATAGTTTTGCAAATTGCTCAGGACTGAACTTGATCTTTGGTCTAAATGCATTACTAAGAACAGCAGATTTGCAGTGGAATAGTTCTAATGCTCAGTTGCTCCTGGACTACTGCTCTTCCAAGAATTACAACATTTCTTGGGAACTAGGCAATGGTGAGTACCCCTGGAAACTTTTAATAAGGAGATTCCCCTTTGGCATTATTTGTTCCTATTTATGACATTCTTTTGAATATTAGCACATTCTTGCAGGTTTTCAACAATGCAACTTTTGGGAGCTGGGCACAATGATGCGTGTCTATAATTCCAGCTGTTTGAGAGGCTGAGGCAGGAGGATTGCGAGTTTTAGGCCAGCCTGGGCAACTTAGTGAGACCCTATCTCAAAATAAAAAATAAGAAGTGCAAGAGATGTAGCTCAGTAGCTCAGTGTTAGTACACCACTGTGGTCAATTCCCAGTATGGGGGGGTCAGGGTGGGCAATGCAACTTGTGAAACTATATATGGAAGAAAAGTCTTATATATTCCAGAATACATTACTAGTCCCAGTTTATGCTATATTTGAGGTGAGGCAAACTATTAAAGCCAGCAACCTTCCCAGCTCCAGGTTCCCTTGAGATTTTCAGAGTCTATTAGACCTATTATGCTTGGCAGGCTGGACTCAGCAAAACTGTGAAGTAGGCCATTTGTTTTCACTCCCCCCGCCCCTCCTTTCTCTGTTTTTCCATTTGTCAGTTAATCTCAGCAACCCTGTCCCAATTTTCATTACTTGCTCAAGATGACTAAAAGTTGCCAGCCATAAAATATTACCCATATCAAGCTCCTGAATGTCTCCTTCTTCACTCTTTTGCAAGGAACTTATAAATTCCAACTAAAGTGTTAATGATTAGTTCTATTTTTTTTTTCAAAATCTAGTACTTTTCTATGCATTACCCAATGAAACTGATTATAAAATGGAAAATGAAATGTAACATAGTGAGCACAGGCTCCGTGGTAGGCATTGTGCTAAGCATTTGATCTCTTCTCTCTGCCTCAAATTTTCCTCCTCTTCCTCTTCCTCTTCCTTCTTATTTAATACTGGATACAGACTATTTTCCAAATGGTTTAATATTATTAACTTCAAGTTGTTCAATGCCCTCCTCATACTTCATTTATGCAATTAACATTTTATTTTTATGGAAAAAATCTTTTTTAATAACTGTGATTTTACTTTTCTTCACTTTGAATTGTAAGTTTTTGCAATTTGGAAAATGTTTGTTGCATTTATATGTTGCTGTGTTTTTGCTTTTAAAGCAAATTCTAGCTTTTAAAGCTAGGAAAAAATGTCTAGATAGGTGATTAGTTTGACAATTGCTGTCTTTCAGAACCTAACAGTTTCTGGAAGAAGTCTGGGATTTACATTGATGGATTACAGTTAGGAGAAGATTTTATTGAGCTGCACAAACTTCTTAGAAATTCCACTTTCAAAAATGCAAAACTCTATGGTCCTGATGTGGGTCAGCCTCGAGGAAACACAGTTAAAATGCTAAGGAGGTAAGACTTAGAGAATGCAGAACCACTTTTCTTAACAATATCCAGGTGTGGTGCCACATGCTTGTAATCCCCACAGCTCAGGAGGCTGAGGCAGGAGGATCACAAGTTCAAAGCCAGCCTCAGCAACTTAGTAAAGCCCTAAGTAACTTAGAGAGATCCTGTCTCAAAATATAACATAAAAAAGGTTGGGGATGTGGCTCAGTTTTTAAGGGCCCCTGGGTTCGATCCCTGATATCTCTCACTTCCCCACACAAAAAATCTTCTGGGGATAATCCCCAACAGACCACCTGTTATTACACAATTTGCTGCCTGCCTACATGGTTTATTAAAAGAGGAAATATTGGCTTAGAATACCAAGAATTCTGGCACCTAGTTGGCACCTATGAAAAAAATTGTTGTCAGAATTAGGTAGTTTTTGTGTTTGTCTGAATCTAACATCATAACAAGCCATTTCTAGGGAATAAAACCCCTATGTAAACATTGTACATCTATATGAGGAAGTGAGAGCATAATAGAATTTTTGTTCTAGTTTCCTGAAGGCTGGTGGAGAAGTGATTGATTCGGTTACGTGGCATCAGTAAGTATATCTTCTATTCTTAATACTAGGAAAATAATGCTACTTTTACTTACTGCCAGTTTTCAAAAAAATTATCTCCACTTAACTGCTAACTAGCTTTATAGTTCAGATAAGAAACAAATAGTATCTCAAGCAGTGTACTAGAATTTTAAGACGAATAAAACAAAAATGTAATGTTATTTTAAATAGTGTGGTATCTTTAAAGATCAAGGTATACTGTCAACCAACACATACAATATAAAAGTAGCTAAAACCAATTGCTTGCCAAAAACCAGGAAATCCAGAAGTGCCTGTACTTGTGACTGTATCCTTTTAAGACAAAGGAACTGATTTCTAGTTTTTTGATAGACTGGTCTCTTCCTCTTGTTCCCTTTTCATCTTGGTCCTTCCTTTATAGCAGCATTTCTGCCTTTTAAAAAAATTTTTTTAACAATGGGGATGAGCAAGATAGGAAGGAGAACAAGGTTGGCAATTGACTTAGAGCAGAAGGTAAAGTTTTTTATTTTTCTTTGAATATTTTCTGAATAATTTAGCTACTATTTGAATGGACGCATTGCTACCGAAGAAGATTTTCTAAACCCTGATGTGCTGGACACTTTTATTTTATCCGTGCAAAAAATTTTCCAGGTAATAGTCTTTTTAAGTTTTTTATATAAAACCAGAGTTCTTCTTTTGTAGTCTAGTTAGTTCTAAATTTCATAGGTATATATATTCACATGTTTTCTTTTCTAATTTTGGAGAATAAGCACTGTTTTATTCAGCCTTTGGTTTCCTCCCCAGCATTGGATCTTACTCATTTATATTTATTAGAAATGAAAAATACTATAACTAAAAAGAACAAATTTAAAAAACACTTCCAATAGTCTAATTAACTACCATAGACTATAATACTGAATATTTATATTCCTTCCATACCCTAGTATTCCAATAAAAGAAAATTGTTTAAGACCTAAATGACCGTGAACTATTTTGTAACTGTGTAGGACAGATGGGTCTGGAAATTCAAGGTTTTGGATGCTGTTAATCTTCAACACCACAATTGGTCAGCTTGTCTGCAATTACCATGGAGACTCTCCTGTTCCCATAGGTGGTTAAGGAGACCAGGCCTAGCAAGAAGGTCTGGTTAGGAGAAACGAGCTCTGCGTATGGGGGAGGCGCACCCTTGCTGTCCAACACCTTTGCAGCTGGCTTTATGTGAGTGAAACTGCACTGGCCTCAGGGATCGGATTGCAGCCATTCTCCATCCTGTTAGTGTCAGCCAAAACCAGAACAAAGACAGTTTTTGTGGCTGAAGCACCAAAATTTGTGCCAGATGGTGCAAGAAAATCACTTGTTAAAGCTTGTTGGACCTCTTTAACAAATGTCCCAAATTAATCATTAAAAGGATGAATGGTTTTAGACATTATATTCCTTAATTGTGGCCTAGAAATATGTCACAGGAGTCCTTCATGTAAAAACACTCCCTGTAAAACAAGCATCGGGAGTGCTGGCTCTGAGAAGCATGCTTAGAGTATCTAGCTGTATTATAGATTCCCAAGAAGTTTAGAGTCTAAAATATAAGGTCACAGCGCAGGGCTGCCAGTGAAGTTAAAGATTTGCTGAATCACCTCACTAGCCAACACCAGAAACTTGATTGCTTTAAACCATGGTGTATTTACATTCAGTATATAACTTCCTGAGTATGCTTATCTATAGTTCTGTGTCCTCATAGAGATTTTTTCTCTTTCCTCTCCTGTCCTACCTCTCCCCACCCACTTCTTTCTTCATGGTTATAATCTTATGATATAATATAAGAATAGAGAGAAGAACAGAGGCATTGGTTTTACCATTAATGAAAGACTTGGGGTGTAGATGGTGGGGGTACAGACAGGGTATGATAGGAGACGTCCTAAGAGTTTAATTGTGATTCTACTTATTCTCCATCTTTATCTCTGCTGGCTACAGCCTTTTCTTCAGCCCTCTCACAGTGTGTATATAGGGGTCAGGCACAGGATGAGGAATTGTCTCTTGGGGTGGGAATTTGTCTCCTCTGCTTTGTAGAAGTTGCCTTGCCCTGAAAGGGACTCCTGGCAAGTTAGTGGCCTTCAAGGATGTGTCATCTTGCTGGTGTGGGGAGACGTGAGGGAGGATGTGCTTCTGCACACAGTGCATTTCATTGGAATGGCTTCTGTATAATTAATGCCACTCATCTAAGTTCCCATTAATTCCTCCCAAATAGACAAATAATAAATCAGGATTGTGTGTAGTTAGAATTGAGGGATTTTGTTTTCAAACCTAAACAAAGCTGAATGTTTCTCTGCCCCAGGTGGCTGGATAAACTGGGCCTGTCAGCCCAGATGGGCATAGAAGTGGTGATGAGGCAGGTTCTCTTTGGAGCTGGAAACTACCACCTAGTAGATGAAAACTTCGAACCTTTGCCTGTAAGTGACCATTATTTTTCTATTTTTATGAGAAGATAAAAGTATGCTCAGAGCCCTTCTTATCTGTTGACAATACTAATCCCTTATATTTATAGACAGTCCTCACAATAAATAGTCAAATTGTGGGATGATGAGTTGGAAGGAAACTAGTGTGACTAGAAAAGAAATCAGGAGCCAGAATTAACTCTTTTTAATGCAGGTCATTTGAAGCATAGAGTAGATGCACTTTTTTTTTTCCTTCAGTACTAGGGATTGGACCCAGGGGTGCTCAACCACTGAGCCATAGCCCCAGTCCTTTTTATTTTTTATTTTGAGACAGGGCCTCACTAAGTTACAGAGACTGGCCTCCTGCCTCGGCTTCCCAAGTTGCTGAGAGTATAGGCGTGTACCACCACACCTGACCAAGGATATGCTTTTTTTTTTAGTTGCAGATAGGCACAATACCTTTATTTTATTTATTTATTTTTATGTGGTACTGAGGATCAAACCCAGTACCTCATATATGCTAGGCAAGCATTCTTACCACTGAGCCACAACCACAGCCCCTGGATATGCTTTTTAAAAAGGGTCATTTGAAAATTTTATGACTCATCTCACAAGATAACAAACTTTTATCTAAAATTGTTTTGCAAGACTGAGGGTGTAGATCAGTAGTAGAGCGCTTGCCATGCATGTAAAAGACCACGGGTTCAAACCCCAGCACTGCCCTCCCCCCCCCAAAAAAAAAGTTTGTGAAACAAATCAAAGTTAAAATTTCTATAGTGCCCAAAGCTTCACAAAATTTTTATATCATGAAATCATATTTTATTTAGCTTTAAAATGAGCCAGTGCCATATATTTCTTTTAAAAAACTTACTCTAAGAATTGAATATTTGTTAATCAGCTTCAAGATATTTATGAATGAAGTCTCATTTTCATCCTATCTCTAACTGTATCTGTTGCCAAGTGAGGAAATATAGCTTTGTTTATCCAAAGTGCCACCTGTAAGATATATATATATAGTGCTAATTTATATAGATGCATATTTACCTAATTTATATACATACATATTATCCTAGTTTTTATTTATATACATCTTATACATCTGTTATCCTAATTTATATGTACATATTTATATACATAAATATTAGGATAATAGAAATGTAACCCTGAGAAGTATGACTTTGATTTCTATCATCTAAAATGGATTTGAGGATTTCTGTTTTCTAAGAAAAATTCTTGAGGGAGTTATTTGAATAGTTCTATTTAATCAGTGTTTCACATTTTCCTTATTGTCTAAAATATTACTAATAGTTTATTATTCAAACCAGAATCCAAACAAGGTCTGCCTAATGCATTTGGTTGATATGTCTCTATGTTTGTTCAACTTTAGGTTCTCTTTTCTCTCTTTTGTCCATGTAATTTATCAATTAAAGAAACTAGGTGGGTTATTTTAAAAGTGTTTCCCACATTCTGGATTTTAATAAATTTATTCCTGTCATATCATTTAGCATGTTTGTTGCTCCCATTTCCTGTAAACTGTTAGCTACACCTAGAAACGTGAACTTACTCAAGCTCTGTTTTGAGGGAGCAAGAATTCCTCACAGATGATGTCGTGTTTTTCTGTCTGGAAGTACTTAATGTTTCTCTCTTCTTTTGATCTTGATAGATAATGATTATTGCTTAACCCATCGTTTTATTAGGAGGGTTATCAGGTTTTAAAGGAAATTACTTTTGTCTTAGAAGTTTTATTTCAAAAAATCTTCTTTGTGTATGTGTGTATTTGTGGATGTGTATGTCTTAAATTTCTGGTTTAAGCTGAGTGTGGTGGTACACACCAGTAATCCCAAAAATTTGAGACGCTGAAGCAGGAAGATTACAAGTTTGAGGCCAGTCTCAGTAACTTAGCTAGACCTTGTCTTGAAATAAAAAATTAAAAGGACTGAGGATATAGCTAAATGGTAAAGCACCCCTGAATTCAATCCCCAGTACACCCCACTACCCCGAAAAAAGTTCTGGTTTGAGCTTTACCTTGAATTCTTGGATGAAAGACAACCAAGAATATTTAAACTTTCTGAGCAATTGATTGCATTCTTGAAATATGTCTTCCTGTGGCTATGACTCTCTGAATTTTGGAAGTCCTCTAGGGACACAAAGCTGCAAATAATGTATTTCCCTCAGATTCAAGGTAATCATATAGAAGGAAAGGGAGGATCACATGGGAGGAAGGGAGGAAAGAAATAATCCTATTTACATATATGCAGGATAACAGTTCTACTCTTTGTAGGATAGCTATTTGCTTGCCACTAGTTTTGTTAATAAAATAAGTAAAGTTCTATTTTTGACCCTGCCCTCCCCAACCACCACAACTAGGATTATTGGCTGTCTCTCCTGTTCAAAAAATTGGTTGGCACCAGTGTGTTCATGGCAAGTGTGAAAGGCCCAGACAGAAGCAAAGTTCGAGTGTACCTTCACTGCACAAACGCCAACCAGTAAGTGTGAAGCATGCTGTTAGCCAACCTACAAGATTTAATCCATAAGCACATAACATCCTATACTAACACCCTGTTGCTATCTGTCTACACAGAGGGTCGAAGCTGTGTCATTGGTCCTTTTCATTCTTTGTATTTTTTTACATTCATGGTGATATGATATCAGAATCTAACTTCAAAAAATTGCTTAAATGTTGGCATTTACAGTCAATAAAAATTTAGATAATGATTTTAATTGTCATAATCTATAATGGAAATATACCAAGTTTTAATATATAAGGATAGTAAAAATATAAGAAAATATAAATACTTTTGTGTAAGCATTAATTCATTAAAAGTGTATGAGTATAAATATAAGTGAGAATTAATATGAATAAACAATTTTAATGTATTTATCTCCTATCATACCTAAGAAACACAAAGGAAGAAGAAGAAAAAAATCAAAAGAAAGGGAACAATAAAAACAACAATCTTAATTTCAAAATTGCCACCATAATTTCTAGAGTTGAGAGGCCCTAGAAAGACTTTTATAGTCCTGCAGTGTGGCTTTAGGTAGCAAACAATATTCCTAAATCCCAGGGATTTTCTCTTCTCAGTTTCAATCTATCATCCTGATAGAAAGGTACTTTAATACTAATTCTAGCAAAAAAATCCACCTCCATTTCCCATTTTCTGTGACTGGAAATACTATGGAGGGTAGAGGCCCCACTAGGAAGTAGTAAGGGAATGGTTTGAATGGATGAATTCTGAAATGTGTCCATAGATTAATTTTTCCTGTTTATTTCATTCTTTTCATAGAGATAGGAAGAGATGCTATTTATATAGTTTGTAATTTGAATTCATATGAACTCATGAAATTTACTTTTTTATCATTTAGCCTTCTTATACTTAAAAATTGGTGGTCTATCTGGCTTTCCAACAACTTAGTCTGACAAATTAGTAAAGATTTTAGAGGTCTGGCTCCAAAAATGGTAGTATGAAGAGCAATATTTTTTCTGTTTTTGTTCTGTCCGAGGGACCAAACCCAATGCCTCACACATGCTACTCCCCCAGCTCCCAAGAGCAATATTTTTAATTATGTTTTCAGAATAGGACCACATGTGTGGTCTAATATTATAAAAAGAAGATACTAATAGTCCCATCATCATTATGGATGCTGATACTTAGTATCCATGATCATATTTGTAATCAAGTTCTTAATTGCTTAAATTAGATAAATATTTTTATTAAATTAACCTATTTGCTTTTTAGCCCAAGATATAAAGAAGGAGATTTAACTCTGTATGCCTTAAACCTCTATAACGTCACCAAGCGCTTGCAGTTACCATATAACTTATTTAACAAGCAAGTGGATAAGTACCTTGTAAAACCTTCAGGACCTGATGGATTACTTTCCAAGTGAGTGATTTTCCTTGTTCATTTCAGACTTTTAATGAACTTGTTGGTGTTTATCAGAATAGAGAGTTTTGAGAGGGGGCAAAAAATAAAAAGTCAACTATTTCAAATTCTAACTGTTCTTAATATTCAGGGATACTTATGAATACAAGCATAACTTACTCAGAGAGTCCAAAGTGAAAGATTTGAACACAAACCAGCAGTTATCTTAGAGGATAGTTTGTGTTTCAGAATAACTGGATAATCATAATCCACTCAATGCATTTAGATTATTTCCTCTGAAATGACATAATTCTTGGTAACACAGTCTCTAAAGCAAAACATACCTATTTATAATTGTCATTAAGTATGTGTGGGTTGCTACAAAATATCATACCATTCCATGTGAGCTGGGTGTGATGCTCTTACAGCATTAAAATAATTTTTTGTTGGTTAGAGTAAGACAAAATGGCTAGAAATGTATTGCTAGTCGGATTATTTGAATTGGTTTTAAAACCCAGTCAATACATCTTATAAAAGCACATATTCAACAGAGTACCAAAGAATGGCTGAGGCTTGCAGAGCTGGGTATACAAACATTTTAAGATTCTGTCTTGTATGTGTTGGAAGGATCTCTTTTCATAGTGACTATTCTCATAGTGGAGAACAAAAAAAAAATGAACAGTTTGTAATATTACCATCATCTCCCATCTTCACACGTGCTATCTGTGTGATGTTTTCAGTGAGTATTAGCAATGGAACATGAGAAAGTACAGTAAGCCTACTTTCTCCAAAATCCTATCCTTCACAAACAAGCAATATTTACATTGGGTACCATGCATTCCATTATTTTCCCCAGTGCTTTTTTTAAAAAAAAATATATTTTTAGTTGTAGGTGGACATGATACTTTTATTTTGTTTATTTATTTTTATGTGGTGCTGGGGATTGAACCCAGTGCCTCACATGTGCTATGCAAGTGCTCTACCGCTGAGCTACAACCCCAGCCTCCCCCACCCGCCCAATGCCTTTGTAAATACTATAATTATATAACCTCTCACAGGAAAAAAGAGGATCTATAAGATCTACAGGTTTTCCCATATCCGTGTGTGTGTGTGTGTGTGTAGTGTGTGTTTTATACTGGGAATTGAAGCCCTACTACTGAGCTATGTCCCCAGCCCTTTTTATTTTTTATTTGAGCCAAGGCTGGCCTTGAGCTTCCATCCTCTTGAGTTGCTGGGATTATAGGTGCTTATCATTGCACCCAGCTCCCAAGTCTCTTTCTACATGGTTTTTGTAGATATATTTAATGGGTTGCATGTTTTATAAAATACCATGGTTTACTTGACCATTTTCCTACTGTTCAAACCATTTTCCCCCAATAATAAATAATGCATATTTAGATAACAAATACTTTTCTCTATTTTCATTTAGATGCTTTCAAAATGAGTCCTTTTTAGCATATTCATGTCTGATGCTGATAAGGAAAAAGCTTTCTGAAATAACTAATGGTTGTAGAGGTGGAAGTGTCTTAGGAGACTCATCCAAGGCCATTCAGCTCAGTTTGGTTCTTTGAGTTCAGTTGGAATCCACAACCTCCTAAAGGCAGCTGTGTTCTGTATCTTTACTTTGTTCTTAATTCTATTCCCTAGAACAGAGGTTGGAAAATCTACCTTATGCCTGTAGAGGATTCCCACATATGCAACCATTTTCTGGTAGGGGAGGTTGGCATGCACTCTATTAATTTTTGTTTTTAAGTTAATTGCAACATTTATGAATTGACGATTACTAAAATATATCAATTTCTAGTTTGTGTGTGTGTGTGTGTGTTTGTACGCACACACAAGTATGTGAATGCTGGGGATAGAACCCAGAGCCGTGTGCATGCTAAGCAAGTACTGTACTCCTGAGCTACATTCCCTCTAGCTTTTCTTTTAAAATGGATACTTGTGGGGCACCGTGGTGCACGCCTGTAATCCCAGCAGCTGGGGAGGTTGAGGGAAGAGGATCATGAGTTCAAAGGAAGCCTCAGCAATGGCAAGGCACTAAGCAACTTAGTGAGACCCTGTCTCTAAATAAAATACAAAATAGAGCTGGGGATATGGCTCAGTGGTTGAGTACCTCTGAGTATAATCCCCGGTACTCCCTACCCCCTAAAAAATGAATACTCCAGCAACCCTGGGTTAGTTTTCTCCCTTAGCTGGAGTTGGATTAGAGTTGTCTATTTAGGTGGATCATTTAGTTGTCTATTTTTGGCTTTTTAGTTCTGCATTATCCCTTCCTGACTCTGTTGCCCTATGCCTGTCCTGCTGGTCTTGAATATATACTCTCCTTGGCCCCGGGCTCATTTGAGTTTGTCAGCCATAATCTGGGGTGATGCTAAATATCTAATGTTCCCCAGGTTAACTCTCACATGTTTGAAGGATGATTGGATTGTCTTCTCTCCAAGCTAAATATGCCCAATTTCTTAAGTGATTTTTTGTTGTTGCTGTTGTATTTAGCAGACTCTGTTGCATTCTGATCACATATTTCATGCTTTTCAATTGGAAAACTGGTAAAATTATGGAAAATTTTTTGTTCTCCTCACTTTTATTTAATGAATACATATTACTTCCACTTTTCTTTGTTTATATTTTACAAGAAGAATCCCAGAGCTGGTGCATTGTGTAATCTCATCTATTTGGGAAACTGAAGCAGGAGGATCACAAGTTTGAGATCAGTCTGGGGAATTTTGCAAGATCCTGACTCAAAATAAAATTTAAAAATGAATGGTAGAGACCCTGGGTTTGACCACAAGTACCACAAAAAGAAAAAGAAAAAACAAAGTATACCCCAGATAAGTTTGATGCGTATGCAGTATATTTGCTCATATTAATGACCTCAGAGAGCTAAGCAATGACAACCCTAAAAAATAATTTTTTTAATTGGACAACCTTTGTATAGTTCCTATTGAGAGTCCTGACTTATAAGTATTTAATTAATATTTGAATGAATATATTTTTAATATAAAAGCAGTATTTTATATTTATCTCATATTTTTTTCCTGTTATCCCCAATTTTGTCAAATCTGTTGCTTGCTCATTCCCTACTTTATTTTTCCTGAAACTTGACAAATATGTCTTCTATTACCTTATCTTCATGTTACCATCCTCAAAATATGAAACAGGAGCTGGGGATGTGGCTCAGTGGTAAAGAGCTTGTCTGGCATGCATGAGGCCCTGGGTTCAAATCCCCAAACACCAAAAACCAAATAAATAAAAATGAATGAGCATATGAAACAAGCTGCTATCCCCAAATAAATACCTATTCTCCTTGCCCAGCCTGATGTGGAAATAATCAGCATACTTTAGGCTTACAGTGAGTATACTTACAGCATCTTTTAGATATATGTATAATTAATTAAACAATATAACCTCATGGTATAAGTATCTTGCTATGTTCCTCAACTTATAGCAGTATTAATTCACAATGATCAGGTTAACCTTTAAGCCGAGGTAGTAAACTACCTTCACCAAAAGCACGTCTAGAATAACCAAAAGCATTTCTGGAACATTTGTGAGTAGGCATGCCAGGACCTTCATTTCATGCAGAACAGACTCTTAACTTCTATCATTTAGAAATATTTTTTAAGACCTATTTTTATCTGTGGTTTCCTGATGATGGTCATGAAATTTCCTCTCCTACCCCCATCTAAAAATTGTTATGATATAGATGTTAAAAAACAAAAACTGACACCTGTGAACTGACTTCAACTACAATGCAGGCTTGTTAGTCTTGGGCACAATCCTGAGTGTGTTACTGATATGTCTTAAATTACTGAATCCAGAGCTAAGCATCTAACCAGGTTATATAGAGACCATTTTTTCTTCTCCTTGATCCTTAGTAATGACAGGGAGTGAGAGATCTTTAATAATGAAAAATATATAGTAATACTACTTGGAAACAGGAAAATATATATCAGTGGAGGATTAAATAAATAAATTAATGTACCAATATCATGGAATCCTGTGTATCCAATAAAATGAGTGAATGAATGTTAAAATTTTCAACAAATATGAGGATGGATGAAGGGGAAAAGAATCAAGTTTTAAGAAAATATGTACACTATATCATTTTTATTTATGTAAAATATGTGAGAATATACAAACAGAAATATGGAATAAATATACATCAAAATATTAAAAGTACATTTTAGCAAGTTACTTTTGTTATATTTATTTATCTGAATAATGATCATATATAATAATTTTATAGTGCTCATTGTATACAAGATATAGTTATAAGTGTTCTAGGTACATTACATACATTACATTTATGATATAAATGTAATTCTGACATTAGTCTTCTAAGTTTTCAACAATAAAAAGTGCTAACTTGAGCTAGAATGTGACTCAGTGATACAGTGCTTGCCTAGCATGACCCTGTGTTCAATCCTCAGCACAGCAAAAAATAAATAAATAAATAGTGCTAATTTTTTTCTAATAAAAAAGCATTTAAAAAAGATACAGATATAAGCATAATTTAGAATTATGAAAGTAACTATAAGTAGAACTAAAATAGACTAAATTTTATTCATTAATACTGTATGGCCAGGTGCCATGGTGCATGCCTGAAATCGCAATGGCTAGGCGGGGGAGGCTAATGCAGGAGGATCTCAAGTTCAAAGCCAGCCTCATCAATTTAACAATGCACTAAGCAACTTAGAGAGACCCTGTCTCAAAATTAAAAAATACAAAGTGCTGGAGATGTGGCTCAGTTTTAAATTTTAATTCCAATAGTAAAAAACACAGAAAACATAAATTTTACTGTGAGTTAGCCAAATAAAATTGATTTTGTTCCACTATAGCAGAATACATTCTACCTAAATACCTAAGAAAATGAATGTATCCTTCCTGGGGAGAAAAGGGGATTATACAGTTAAATGAAAGTAACAAGTAGGAAATTTTATTGACTGTCATTTTTTATGTGGCTCACCCCTGCAATCCCAGTGGTCCAGGAGGCTGAGGCAAGAGGATGGTGAGTTCAAAGCCAGCCTCAGCAATGGTGAGGCACTAAGCAACTCAGTGAGACCCTGTCTCTAAATAAAATACAAAATAGGGCTGGGGATGTGGCTCAGTAATTAAGTACTCTGAGTTCAATTCCTGGTACCTAAAATATGTGTGTGTGTGTGTGTGTGTGTGTGTAAATATATACATATGTATATATAAGAAATATCATATATGTATACATATGTAAAGTATACACACACACACACATATATATATATATATAATCAATTATTTTCCATCAGATACAATTGCTACAACTCCAGAAATGATGTCATATTTTTTCTTTTATCCCTCCATTATATTGCCTAGTATAGATTTGTATGTTTCATTTTCTGGAAAGGGACAGATGGCATTTCAGGCTTTATAGGTCATATGGTCTTTGTTCCAACTACTCTTCTCTACCACTGTGATTAAAAGATAGATCACACCTCACTGACATAGTGTTGAAATACAAGTTATATAACATAAGCTGCCACAAACAAAAAAAAAATTGTCTAAAAAGGATTGCACAAGTTTTGAAGGGGGTTATAGGGCATGCACAGCTTGGGTAACTCAGGTATATCTTTCCTCTTTGCAGAACTGTTGAACTCAATGGTCAAACTCTGAAGATGGTGGATGCGCAAACACTGCCAGCTTTGACAGAAAAACCTCTCCGCCCAGGAAGTTCCCTAGGCTTGCCACCTTTCTCATATGGGTTTTTTGTGATAAGAAATGCTAAAGTGGCTGCTTGTATATAAAAAAGAAAAGCTGGTTCTAGGCCTGAGGTTAAATATTTCAAGTGTAATTGATAAGGGCTGGGGGTGTAGCTCAGTAGTAGCTCAGTAGAGCACTTGCCTAGCATGCACAAGTCCCAGCACCAAAAACCAAAACAACAAACAAAAAATCAAGTGCATTGATGAATAAAGCGAAGCTCAAACTGTAGGAAGCAAGAAGATTCATTACAAATCAAGTAATTTGGAGTGGGAGCTCCAAAGACACTGGGACACTATGCTACATTTAGCATAGTATTTTGATCGCTAAGTAGAGCACTGCTAATAATAATAGCTAATAATACCATGTGCCAAACACTATATTTAGCACACTGCATGCACTATTTTTAAGTTTATTAAAAAAATATAGCCAGGTGTGGTGGCACACACCTATAACTTTAGCTGTGCAGTAGGATCACAAGTTCAAAGCCAACCTCAGCAAAAGCAAGGCAGTAAGCAACTCAGTGAGACCCTGTCTCTAAATAAAATTCAAAATAGGTCTGGTGATGTGGCTCAGTGGTCGAGTGCCTCCTGAGTCCAATCCCTTTTAACCCCCAACCCCAATGTATATGAATGTTCCTAATATGGCCAAGAGGCAAATAAGTGAAGGATGTATTATTCATTTTAAGAAAGTGTTAACTTGTTTTTATTTTTAAAGACTGTTAAAAGATTGTCACATTCTTTCCTTCATGTGCCATCTCTGTGGGCTCCCATGGGGAAGAGTTTCCTGCCACAACCTTGCAGTCATCTGTAAAATAGAAACTATCTATTTGCACCTTAACAAGAGATAGATTCAGCTGCTACCCTTTTTCTCTTCTGTTTGCCTTTGTCAGCAATCATTTGTGAGAGGACAGATTGTCAGATATGAGTGTCAAAGTATTGAACAATACAGAGGTTAAGGGGTTATGTAAACTTCCAATGAAGTTTTAAAATGACTGTAAATGAGATTGATTTTCTAAAAGGAAAAATTTTAGATAACATCCAGTACATCATAACCATTTGTTAATTTTTATTTTTTCTCAGCTGTTTTTGTTTCAGTTGGGAGACTTTGAGCTCCAAGTAACAGAGAAACCATGATTCAAATGGCTTAGATAATAAGGAAATTGACAATTCCATACAACAGCAAGTTCAAGTAGGGAAGAGTCTGTCAGGAATCCATGTCCTTTCCCTCTCTCTGTTGTGCCATCTTTAGTGTTAGCTTTGTTCCTGGGCTTATAGCACGATGTCTCTAGCTCCTCCATGGATCCATTCAGATCTGGTAGCAACCAGAGGAAGAAAAACAGTTTTTTTTTTTTTCTGTAAAGAGTTGAAGAACTCTTTCTCAGAGGTTCTCCCAGTAAACTTTTCCTTGTGTCTGCTAATGTCTTATTGGTCAGGAATAGGTCATGTAGCCATTTCTCCAGTCACTGGCAATAACCATGAATTGACTCTGCATGGTCCTCTTTGCAGTGGAGAAGGTTGTAAGAGTCCACAGCACTGCACAAAATAGTTCTGTGCTTTTTATCAATGGCAAAATGTATTATTTCCCCCTGTATTTTAATCCTCTTAAGGATTACTATTCTTTATATTTATGTCTATGAATGTTGCCTCAATAAAGTTTAAGTAAATTTATAAAGCTAGAACTTAAAAAGTTTGGATGCTTCAGTACTCTTAAATTTTATATGTAAGTGGTTTTTATATTTTCACCTTTGAAATAAAGTAATTTTTATAATCTTAATATTCTTTAAATAAAGCTAAAGCCTACAGATTCCTATATTTGAAAATCTTGTTTTCTTCATCATTGTCTTTATAACTCCTGCCTTTATTAGTCATTTCACATTTCCCAACACCAAAGTACTTGACTTTGAAAAGAAGGGCCCATCATATCTCATCATATGTATTTAATCATGATCAAAGCCCGGTCTTGTCTCTTTTTTTATTTTTATTTTTTTCCACTAATGATTGAACCCTAGGGCTCTCTATCACTGAGTTACATCCCCAGTCATTTTTATTTTTTGTTTTGAGGCAGAGTCTTGTTTCTTTTCCTTGTCCCCTCTTCCACTTCATAATACAAGTGAAAAATTAGGCCTTGAATTTATTCTAGGAATTACCTAGTTATTCACCCTGACCTAAAATTCTTAAATGGCTCCCTATTTCTTACACGCACATAAGATACTCCATAACCTGGCACCTGCCTATTTCTTCAGTCCTAACACTTGTCACTCTCCTCATGAATTCTGTTCTCCAAGCAGATATGAGTTGAGAAGTCTGAACCCACATACTCTTGCATATTTGCTCCCAGATCATTTATGCTGTTCTTTCTCTCTTCCTAACTATTCTAATGTCCTCTCCAGGTAGCGAACATTCATGTTTATGAAGACCAGCTCAGACATCAATTTCAATACCTCAGTCATTCAGGTAGCTTTCATTTTTCTTTGCTTTCACAGCATTTATGGCACTTATGATGCATTTTAATTGTATCCATAAGTCTGTCTCATTTGACTTGAAGCTTACAAGAAACAGTTATAGTATCTTCATCATCTTTGCATTTCCTGTGCTTAGCACATTTTCCAGCACACAGTAACCAATCAGATGACTTCTTCATGACATAAAAGAGCATTCAAGTTTGAAACGAAGCTATGGTATTTTGATTTGGAATATTCAGGAAAATTTAACATTTCAAACCTAAGAAGGTGGTGTTTACTACTTCTTTAAAATTCTTTTAAGGATATGTTTGTTAGCTTATTTCTGCCCAGGGATGACGCCAAGCCTCATTAAAGTCTCATATCTAAATCAGAGTCACCTAAAGAGCCTGAACAGCTGCAGGTGCTATTCATCAGAGGGCAGAGCTTCAAAACAACTGATGAGAACTGAGAAGCCATTTTGAGCCATGGGGAACACTCACGGACTATGTGGTAATGAGACCCAAACACTAGTGCTCCAGGGGCTTTGGGTTTGTCACTGTGGAGGAAATGCATGCAGCCATGAATGCAGGACCACACAAGGTGATGGAAGAGTTGTAAAGTCAAAGAGAGCTGTCTCGAGATTTCCAAAGACTGGGGCCCACTTAACTGTGAAAAAGATCTTTTTGTTGGTGGCATTAAAGAAGACACTGAAAAACATCACTACGAGATTCTTTTGAACAGCTTGGTAAAATAGAAGTTACTGAAATCATGACTTACCAAGGCAGCGGAAAGAAGCGGGGCTTTGCTTTAGTAACTTTTGATGACCATGGCTCTGTGGATGAGATTGTCATTCGGAAATACCATACTGTGAATGGCCACGACTGTGAAGTGAGGAAAGCCCTGTCAAAGTAAGACATGGCTAGTGTTTCATCTAGCCAAAGAGATCAAAGTGGTTCTGAAAACTTTGGTGGTGGTCTTGGAGGTGGTTTTGGTGGAAATGATAATTTTGGTTATGGAGTAAACTTTAGTGGTCATGGTAGATATGGTGGCAGTAGCAATGGCTACAATGGATTTGGTAAAGATGGAAGCAATTTTGGAGGTGGTAGAAGCAACAAAGATTTTGACAATTACACCAGTCATAAAATTTTGGACCCAAGAAGGGTGGAAACTTTGGAGGCAGAAACTCTGGACCTTATGGTGGTGGAGTCCAATACTTTGCTAAATTACAAAACCAACGTGGCTATGCAGATTCCAGCAGCAGCAGTAGCTGTAGCAGTGGCAGAAGGTTTTAATACTGCCAGGAAACAAAGATTAGCAAGAGAGAAGAGCCCGGTAAATGACAGGGAAGATATAGGTTACAACAGATTTGTGAACTCAGCCAAGCATAGTGATGTCAGGGATTCTGTGCTACAAAGAAGACATGAGTTAGACAATGCTCATGTGTATGGGCAAAAAACTCGAGGACTGTATTTGTAACTAATTGTATAGCAGGTTATTTCAGTTTCTGTTCTGTGGAAAGTGTAGTATTCCAACAAAAGGTTTTAATGTAGACTTCATTTTTTTTTTTGCACCCATACTGTTGATTGCTAAATGTAATAGTCTAATTATGATGTTGAATAAATGTGTCTATTTTAAAAATAAAATAAATAAAAGTTATAAGATTATTGTTGAGCAAGCTATTACCAATGGTGGATAGTTTTTTGTTTTTTTTAAACTCTATCAAATCCTTTTTTTTTATTATTGGTTGTTCAAAACATTATAAAGTTCATGACATATCATCTTCCGTACATTTGATTCAAGTGGGTTATGAACTCCCATTTTTTACCCCAAATACAAGTTGCAGAATCACATCGGTTACACATCCACATTCTTACATAATACCATATTAATGACTGTTGTATTCTGCTACCTTTCCTATCCCCTACTATCCCCCCTCCCCTTCCCTCTCATCTTCCCTCTCTACCCCATCTGCTGTTGTTTAATTCTCTCCCTTGGTTTTTTTTTCCCCTTTCCCCTCACAAACTCTTATATGTAATTTTGTGTAACAATGAGGGTCTCCTTCCATTTCCATATAGTTTCCCTTCTCTCTCTCTCCCTTTCTCTCCCCCCACTAGTCTCTGTTTAATGTTAATCTTTTCCTCGTGCTCTTCTTCCCTGTTCTGATCTTAGTTGCTCTCTTTATATCAAAGAAGACATTTGGCATTTGTTTTTTAAGGATTGGCTAGCTTCACTTAGCATAATCTGTTCTAATGCCATCCATTTCCCTGCAAAATCCATGATTTTATCGTTTTATAGTGCTGCGTAATACTCCATTGTGTATAAATGCCACGGTTTTTTAATCCATTCATCTATTGAAGGGCATCTAGGTTGATTCCAAAGTCTAGCTATTGTGAATTGTGCTGCTATGATCATTGATGTGGCAGTATCCCTATAGTATGCTCTTTTAAGGTCCTCAGGGAATAGACCGAGAAGGGCAATAGCTGGGTCAAATGGTGGTTCCATTCCCAGCTTTCCTAGGAATCTCCATACTGCTTTCCATATTGGCCGCACCAATTTGCAGTTCCACCAGCAATGTACAAGTGTACCCTTTTCCCCACATCCTCTCCAGCACTTATTGTTGCTTGACTTCA